AAAAGATTCTTAGAAGATTCAAATTATGAATCATTCCAATTTATGTTTTTATTATATTTATATTTCTTCATTTTTATTTTAAACAGTGATTTTCCTTCTCAAGGAAACTGAGTCATTCGTGTTAAATCTGCATCTGAGATCATCTGAAAGCACAAGTAGCCAACATTCATATTGCAAATCAAGATTAGGTCTTAAATTAAAACTAGAATTCCACTCAAAGCCCAATTTGTTCCTACATCAAGCCAGTTGTAACTTGAAAGTCCACTGTATATCAGTGCATACCAATAGTTTTTTATTTGATTAAATGCATTCTTTTTTCACTTAAGTTATTAATTCATTCCAAATGAATGAGTGTTCACCCTAGAAGGAAGTTCAGAGACAGTTATAATGATATTCATAATATCACTTTACACTCACCAGGTCCACACTGTGAATAGCCAGTTCCTCCAGTAGCTCTTATCTCCATGTAAGATGTCTAAATATACATGGACCAATTTTCCAATGGTGAAACCTCAGCATCATTTCCTCATTTAAAGACTTCAGTAGGAATTTTATGGTGCAGCTAAAGTCACCAGGGACAGGTTCATGCGATTGTGTAACAATCATTACATCATTCCAATTATGTAATTCAGGGAAACAATTTTAAATGTTGGCAGGGCCCTTAGAGACTCATCAGGAAATACAGAGAACACTGTTGTTCCATGAAATGAATTTGCCTAAGTGCACATTTCTGGACCTCAGAATGGTTTGTAAATCTGGAAATATTGGTGTTCATTTCCTTCTTGCATGATCTGTTAGATTAATGCCTTTCAGGACTCATGTTAAAAAATGATGGAAACCTCCATTGGCGGGCACTTGAGAAATCTATTTGCTGTTGAGACTGCTTAAAATGGAAAGTAACTCTGCATTAAAAGTCAGCAAAACTACTTTAGCTCCAAAATGTGTAATTAAGTAATCTTTCAAGAGTTTTATCTATAATCCCTACTTATACACAAATGATGCACTAAGATATATGCTTTCCTGAGTAAGCATGCATTTGTAAAACTAGTTGGGGTTTATCAAATCACTGAATGATTTGTAAAAATAGAAGAAATGTCTGTGCCTCTAGAAACGCACATTGAATGGATATATAAAGATTCTGTGTGTCACTCATATGAGTTTTTATTTGTACAGCATAAGAGTAATTTTTGTGACAGATTAGATTTTCTAGCAAAAATTGCTTAGGTTTGATATTTTCAAAGAATGATCCCAAATGTAATTAAAAGTATCAATACTCACTCATAATTGTCTTTTATCACATGTGTAGAATCCTGAGCCATTTTCATAGATCAAGATCAGAAATGTGCCAAAGGAAACAAACTTATATTGATCAACAGTCCCATTTGTCCCTGCACTGGCTCTTGGAGAAGTATCTGAAGCTAAATAGGGGACAGGAGGTATACCAGATGCTCCTCCAGCATGGCATTTTACCAGACGGACAGCCAGGAAGCTCTTTGAGGTAGCCTGCACCATGTCAGAGACACAAGTAAAACTAAGAAGTTCATGGGCCGGGAATTTAGCTCAGTGGTTCTGTCGCCTCTCTAGCAAGCACAAAGATCGGAGTTCAATCCCTGGTACCAAAAAAAAAATCCTAAGAAGTTTATGGTGGACTAAAATAAGCACATTTAAACATCAATGAATACGAACAATTTTAATGAATTTAGATCCATACATGCATAATGATGCTAAAATTAAAATATGTTTCTGATAACTTTAGGAGTTGATAATAAACCACTTGATCATTTTAAGCCTCAGAGCAAATTAGAAAATGTGGAAGGATTTATCCTGCTCACTCCAACCTAAACAACCCCACAAGCCCAGTGAATGAGACCAGCATGGATGAGAATATGAGTGTTTATTAAATATCATTTCAGGTGTATAATATTCTGGGGGGTACTGGGGATCAAACTTGGTACTTTGTGCTTGTGAGGCAGGCAGCAGAGCCACTGAGCTAAATCCCCGGCCCCTCAGCTGTATAATATTTAATTTTACATAGTCAAATGTCCCCGTATTTTTGACATATTCTTAACTTGAAACAGGAAATTTATTCCTATTATAATTTAAAAATGTAATTAATGTTACATTAAAAAATGAGAGATTTATAAAATTTAATCCATTTTAATAAAATTTAAACATACAATGAAAGAGTTATGTTTATAAAATCTCTGACAGAAATATGAACATATATATATAAACACTTAAAATATATTATTTGATATTTAGATCTATAATCCACTTTGATTTTAGTTTAGTGCATGGTGAATGATATTGGTCTAGTTTTAGTCTTTGGGAGGTTGGAATCCAGTTTTCTCAACACCATTTATTAAAGAGGGTATCTTTCTTTCCTCCAGTGAGGATGGTTGTCTCCAAAACAGAAACACTAAACTTGCTGG